TCTCTTTTGTAGCCCATTTCATTCACTTATTTATTTTGAAGGGCAAGGTGTTTATTGAGTATCAATACCCAGGAGAACAGGAGAGAGAAAATCTCTGTAGTCCATTTTAGTTTGGAATCCCTGATGATTCCAGTCTTTCACCATGGTAAACATACCGGTGGCTTAGCTTCCAGCTCCACAGCAACACACAAACTACCAGAGTATGACAATGAGTGGTGGACAAACCATCCCAGTGGGTGTGCAGTGCTCTCCCTTTGTGGATTTGGTTTGCATTTCCTGGTGTGGTGCTGTAGGTTAATGTGCTCAATGGCAAAGTTGGTTTGAACTGCAAGGTCAGCGATTCAAGTTCACCAGCTGCTCATAGGAAACCCTTTACAGGGTTGCTATGGGTCAGGACCGACTCAAAGGCACTTAACAACAACAATCACTAATACATGAGTCCTGGTGTATAGGATAAGCACTGGAGTGCTAACCACCAGGTCAGCAGTTCAAACCCTCCAGCTTCTCCTTAGAAATCCAATACAGGGTTGGTATTGTGAGAAATAGCTCTTGGGATGATCTACCTTCATGACTCAGGGGAATCTTGGGGGTAGCAGGCTAGCATAAGAAAAGGAGCTCAGAGAAGAGGAAGAGACTAGTTTGACCAGCTAGACTTTTTAAAATAAGAATACACCTATCAAAGAAATAGGGGAAGTTCATGGGGAAGGGAGGAAACTAACGTTAAATGAGAATGCTCCCAGTAAGCAACCTGTGGGGCAGATTGTACACTCCATGTTGTTAAGTGTCCTCAAGTTGATTCTGATAGGGTTTCTGAGGAGTCACTGCTGAGCTTGAACCGCCAACCCTGGCAGCTCAAATAGCTCTGCAGTCTGGTGCATTAAGCCACAGCACCACTGAAGGAGGGGCTTTTTTGAGACAAAAGGATAAAACTTTGCAGGCTGGCCATACGGTGCTACTGCCTGTGTCTACTGGGTTGGGCCCCTCATTTTGCAAAATCGAATCAAGAAAAGCTCACTCTTGCTAAAATGAGTACAGATTGGATTACTTGAGGATTTGTGGGTATGGACAATGTTTCTCAGAGTATGAGTAGGAACCAACTGGAAGACATCAACAAACAATCACTAGTGAAGGGATCCCTGGTGTTGCAGTGTTTAAGTTGTTGTTGTTGTTATGTGCCGTGGAGTTGGGTCCGACTCATAGTCCATCGGGTCTAAACCTATACAGGGTATCCGAGGCGAGGCTATAAATCTTTACAGGAGCAGAAAGCCTCATCTTTCTCCCATGTACCAGCTGGTAGTTTTAAACTGCTGACTCTGAGATTATCAGCCCGATTCATAACCACTACACTACCAGAGGGCCTAATCAAAAGATTAATGGTTTGAACCTTCTAGTAGCTCTGTGGGAGAAAGATGTGACAGTCTGCTTCTATAAATAGTGTTGTTGTTAAGTGCCGGAGTAGGTTCTGACTCATAGAGACCCTGAATAGGGTTTCTGAGGAGCAGCCAGTGAGCTTTTACCACTGACTGACCTTGCAGTTCAAATTGCTTTTGTGTTCCAGTGCATTAACCCGCAGTGCTACAGCAGAAATCCTCCATAAAGATTACAGCTTTGGAAACCCTATGGGACAATTCTACCCTGTCCTATAGGGTCACTGTGAGTCACATTGATGACTAACAAATGCTGCTGAGCATCTTTCATGTGCATATTGACCATTTGTATATCTTCTTTGCAGAAATGTAACAGTTACTTATTTTATCTTTTGGTTCAATAAGTATGTTATTACTAATGAGCTTTACTATCTAATGTCAAATCTGAGGCACAGGTAATTAAACATTTTGGTAACCTCAGTCTTACAACAGAGTCACACTTTTCAGGGATATATGCATTGTCTCCAGAGTTTATTGTGATGAAGTAGGGGTGGAGAAGAGGGATATACGGAGGACCTTCTCAGGAGTGACCCTGAAAATGTTTGTCCCAAGGGCAGTATTTCAAAATGAATAGTGATCCCATAGATCCGGACTAGTCATGAGCATGAGAGCTGTTTTTTCTCTGCTCTGACCCAGGATTCACTGCTAGAAAACAAACATGAATGCCTCCCTTTCTCCCCTCCACTGTTGCCACTTAGAATTCCTCTTCTATAGTTAAATTTATTTCTTTTTCGTTTTTTATTACTATCTGACATATTACATGTTTATCATTATCTGACACATTACTTTCAGGTATTTGTTTTAAGAAAAGCTCTCACTTCTTTATTACTAGACCATCTTACTAATTGAGGAAGTATAAAAAGAAAAAAAGAAACCAGAATTTCTTCAACATAACATATTCAATTGTTCAGACAGTGGCAAAGTTTTCAGCTTATAATATGATAAAATGCTAGTGACCTTGATACAGTGTCAATTTATGTACTTTGTATACCCAAGTGATTCTTTATAGATTTAGTATGGCTCTTCTCTAAGGAGACTTTGAATTGTACCTGATTTTATCACCATTTTCTTTTTTTTTTCATTTGAATCCATTGGGGGAATAGGATGATTTTGCTTTTGTTTATTGGCCAGGAATCTCTTGATTGTGAAAGTTTTGTGAGACGATATGACCAGGTTGTAAGTTGGCTGCACACACCACAATGATGGGGAAAGGGAGGGAGAGAGCTATGCGCTTACTTTTTATTGTCTGATTACTTCCACTAGGAATCCTGGTGTGGCGCTGTAGGCTAATACGTCAGACTGCAAAGTCATTTGAACTGCACATTCGGTGGTTCAAGCTCACCAGCTGCTACTGAAAACCCTATACAGGGTCGCTATGGGTCGGAATCAACTCGATGGTACTCAACAACAACAACCTCTACTAAGAGGCAAACTCCACAAAGGCAAAACTTTTTTGCCTTTTTGGTTCACTGTGGAATCCTGAGGGCCTAGAACAGTGCCTGGAACCTAGTAGAAAATCAAAAAGTATCTGTAAAATAAGGAAACCCTGACTTTATCACCTTCTAAGCAGCTCTGGTAGCGTAGTGGTTACGAATCGGGCTGCGAACTTTAAGGTCAGCAGTTTGAAACTACCAGCTATTCCACAGAAGGATGATGAAGCTTTCTGCTCCCGTAAAGATTTACAGCCTCGGAAACCCTGTACAGGGCCGCTATGAGTCGGAACTGACTCCATGGCACATAACAAAAACAACAACATTATAACCACAACTTACTGAATACCTAAGCTGTTCCAACACTTTATTAATTGCATTACACACTGTGTGACCTTATTTTCACGATGTCCCTATTTTATAAGAGGCAGTGAAGCCTCAACGAGCTTATATACTTGCTTATGTGATGCTTATGCATTTCCCTGACAAGGAATCACAGACTAAGTCCTGTCCTGCAGAATAGAATAGTGATTAAATACATGAGCTTTTGAACCAAAAAGAACTTGGTTTATCTTTGAGGTTTTTCACTTACTAGTTATGTGACTCCCAGCAAATTATTTAAATATATTTATGCAAATAAATCCACTTATTTTATTTAAGGGCCAATTCCTTCATCTGTAAAATAGAAATAGCACACAGGGTTGAAAGAAAACGAAAAAGAGATCGCATAAAAGTACTTAGCACTATGCCAGACCCTTTAAGAACCAAGAGTCCTAAACGGTTAGTACCCTTGGCTGCTAACTGGAAGGTTGGGGGTTGGCAGTTCTAATCCACCCAGAGGTGCCTTAAAAGAACGGCCTTGCAGTCTATTTCTGGAAAATCAGCCACTGAAACCCGGACGGGGCACAGTTCTAGTCTGGCACACAAGGATCACCATGAGTCAGAATTGATTCCATAGCAACTCTTGTTTTTAAATGTGAGCCAGGGTTGGGAAGAAAGTCATGCTCAGGAAAAGTGGTCAGCTCTGCCACATCCTTTCAGTAACTTTCCTGGTTTGCCCTCCCTAAATTGAATCACCAATCTTTCCTTGTTATTGTTGTTAAGTGCCTCATAGCGAATCGTATGGGGTTTCCAAGGAGCACTGATGTTGTGGTTAGCAGTCCAGACAGAGCTTATCCTACAGCGCTATGCCTGGACGTCTATGTTGTTGTTGTTAAGTGCCATCCTGCCGGTTCTAATTCAGAGCAACCTTGTGTAGGGAGTCTGGTGAGGCGCTGTAGTAAAAGCTTTGAACCAAAAGGTTGGCGGTTCAAATCCACCAGCTGCTCCTCTGATAATCCTCATAAGGTCGCTGAGTCAGAATTTACTCGACGGTACTTAACGACATAGGGCTTCTCAGGCTGTAAATCTTTGAGAGAACAGAAAACCTTATTTTTCTTCCGCTGAGCGACTGGAGGGATCCGACCAGTTCAATGTTTATTCTACAGAGCCATCGAGCTCCCTATAGAAGCTTGGAATTAGATCTGGCCTCCGTTGGAGGTGGTTAGTGAGAGTGCCATCACATCTCACAAAACAGCCTCGGTTTTCTTAAAGGTCCATCTATTCCTACTTCCCAATCCCAAAGCGGTCGTCCCAATTTTCTTCTCCGACAGTGACAATTCCAGTGGCCCCGCATGCTGGGGGTTGTAGTTTGAAATCCTCCAGCCGGGTCTGAGAGCGATTGGAACTACAACTCCCGGAACCCTCTACGCCGCCAGGAAACCACGTGTCTACCGTGGAAAAGATGTCCGCCGGATACGTGTGGTGAGGGCTTGAGGGCGTTTTAGCATGTCCATAAAGAGAAGCCTGTCTCTGCACCTACCAGGCTTAAGGTGTTTCGGCACATGCCCTGGGGCCAGAGAAACTAGGGCCAGGTGTTTCAGGAATGAAGCAATTCTGCAGATCGAGGTGTAAGCAAGTTGCTCAGGTGCCCCGGCTGTTTTGAGTCTGGAGTTGCCAGCCCGCAAGCGCTGCCTTTGCCACTTCCTTTCCCTTCTGCAAGGATCCACCTGGGGAAAGGTTGTGAGCAGGGATATGAGGACGCTTCCTCTTTTCCCAAGCCCACTTTGACTTCTGAGGAGACTGTCCTGAGCCAAGGTTGGCTATGAAGAACGACTCCTCAACATCTGCAGCCCCCCTCAGGGGCCTCGGGGGTCCCCTACGGAGCAGCGAGCCGGTGCACACCGCCCCAGCTCCGTTGCGAGCTGTGGTTCTACTGGAAGAGGCGGCCGACTTCTTGGTGGTGCACCTGGACTTCCGGGCGGCGCTGGAAACCTGTGAGCGGGCCTGGCGGAGCCTCGCTTCCGATGCCCCGGCCGAGGAGCACGCCGGCACGTACGTGCTAGGCTCGGTTCATTCCCGGGTGTTCTCGGGCGGGTTTCAGAAATCTCAGGATAATCTGTTATTCCCATAATTCCCAAGGAGCGTTACATCTTTTTCCATTAGTGGTACCTTTGTGAGAGGTGGGTTGCTCATCGTGTATCCATTTCACAGAAGAGGAAACTGAGGCACTGCACAATGAGGAGTTCTTAGGTCGTGGAACAGCTGAGTGGGAGCTTACAGTCAGTTCTTTGCGCCCTGTGGAACTACACGTTCTTGTAGTAGAATGTGGATTAAGGGTTAAATTATATAAATTGGGGTTCAGTCAGCAAGTGACATTTCTCTCCTGGATATCCCCCAACATGTTCACTCTTGTTTATGACAGGGGAGGGGGTCAGGGCAAGATTCATGTTCTAGTCCTGCTGAAGGATTTGTAGATTTCATCGGGAAAAACCTTGATCCTGCATGGCAGCCTCTTCTGGCAGTTGATAAGAGTTGGTTTAGGCCACCCTGGGGAGAATAGTCAAAGCTGACGCCCCGAAGGTCAAACTGGGAATCAGCCCTGAGTTTGTGTGGGAATTTATTGCCGTGAATGCTGAAAAGGCTGTGATGTTGGGTGCTACCCCACTTGTTGTGAAGTGCAATCGAGTGGATTCTGACCCATAATGACCCTCTATAGGATTTCCAAGGAGCAGCTTGCAGTTCAAACGATTTTGCAATCTGATGCATTAGCCCACAGTGCCTCACCAGGACTCCAAAAAGCTGGTGTGGCATTCCCCATAGCCCATTTCTTCACTAAAGCAAAACCTTTGCTCCAACTTTCCTTTCACCCACACATTCCCACACACCTCTGCTGGACCTTGTCATTTCCCTACAAGATTACGCAGCCTGTCCATTGAAACCTGATTTCCTTGGATATAAAGATGTGTGTTGGACAACAGTTAAATTTGTTCCTATAGAGTTTACAGGAAATTTGTTGTTGTTGTTTTTAAATTGAGAATGTTACAAAACATTTGCTATTTCAAGATTCTTCACATGTATAATTCAGTAGAAAAACTTAACTCCTTGGAGAAAGTGAAGGTTTCTCCAACAATCCCAGGGTGGAAGTGGGAATGGAAATGGAAGGAAACCACTTCTAAACCTTAATTGGTTTTTCTACTGACAGCTCCTTGGAAGTGAAATGTTCCCTGTGTGTTGTGGGGATCCAGGCCTTGGCAGAAATGGATCGGTGGCAAGAAGTCCTCCGCTGGGTCCGTCAGTATTACCAGGTCCCTGAAAAGCTACCCCCCAAAGTCTTGGAGCTGTGGTAGGTCCTTGTTGCTTTCTCATTGGATCCATTTAAGAAGATGTGTCCTCTCTTGAATCAATGCCTAACAGCTATTATTTTTCCTTTCTGTACCATTTCAATCCAAATGTAATTATTTCCCGGTTTGTCTTTTTAAGACTTAAAACAGCAATTAAAGATGAGGGAGGAGGACCTTAGGAGTGGGAGGGGAGAAAGAGGGGGCATAGGGATCGGGGAGTGAAGTAGGATGGCAGAAGTGTGGTGTGCCACAGCTGAAAAAGCTTATTTTGTTTTAAGTGATTTTATTTTGTTGTTGAGCACGCACACTCACAGAACAATTTCTGCGTGCACCACTTAGTGACAGTGATTATAGTCTTCTAGTGTACAAACATTCTCACCCTCACTTTTCTGAATTGTTTCTCCCCCACTAACACTGCCCTCTAGGGTCCCTGTCTAATCTTTCAAGTTCCAGTGATCAGTTTTATCCCATGAAGATAGTTCTTAAAAGAGCATAATGCCCAAGGCAGAACTTTAAAAAAGTTTTTTTACTGTTGTAGTTAAGTGCCGTCAAGTTAGTTCCGACCCATACTGACCCTGTGTACGATTTCTGAGGAGCAGCTGGTGAGCTTGAACCACCAACCCTGCGGTTCAAAGTGACCTTGCAGTCCAGCACATTAACCCACAGCGCCACACCAGGACTTTTTTTTACTAGTTAAGCTAAACTATTGGTCAATTTTATATATTCAGGGAATATAGTTTAAAGATTATCTCAGGGCATTAGTTTCAGGGATTTATCTAAACTTCGTGGCTCCAAGTTTTGTTTTCATGGCAAAGGAGGCAGTTAGCCACACATTCTATATCTTCCTGTTATTGACTGAGAGAACTTCTTATACTCCCTAAAATTTCTGATGCTTACCAGTGTTAGTGTCTCATTGGGAAGGATTGGAGGTGGCAGGGAGGATTTGGGTAGGAGATGGGTGGTGGTTATGAAGGCTGTAGAAGACTAAATGTTCTCTCTTTGGGATTGGGTTATTTGGGCTGCAGTATTCTTTTATACAGCAAAATGGAAGAGCCTGGAGCCATGCTGGATGTGGTCAGGGCCTGGCTCAAAGACCCAGACAATCAGAACCTTCCAGAATACAGAGCCTTGGCAGTTCTTCACCTGCAGCAGGTACTGTTGCCTCTGGGCCATTTGTCAGAGGCTGAGGAGCTAGTGGCGGGCTCTACGGCTTTTGATGAAGAGCAGCGTCGGGATGCACTCCAGATCATTTGCATGGCCAGGCAACAGCAGAAATGTGAACATTCACGCTCTGAGGAGGCCCAGAAGCCAAACCAGTCAGGTAAGACATGATCCCTTGGCCTCTGTAAAGTGGGGAATGACCTTGGGGTCTAAACTCGTGAGAGCTTGGGAGCCATGCTTTCTATGAATAGCTCCCAAATCACAGATTAAGAAACCTGTCCAGTTGCTCACTAAAGCCCAGACCCTCTGAAGTTGGCAGTGGAAGGAGATGGCCATGTAGGGAGGTATTGGATTCAGAACCTTGACTCTTATCTCTTGAAAGAGATAAGACCCAAATACACACCCAGCTAATGTAAATACATAACCAGCTGATGTAACCAAAGGAAACATAAACTAAGATGGTAACTGGATAATTTGACTTATGAGATAAACATTACTTATCTTCAGTGTGGGATTCCCCTTCCCAGTGTCCTTTACTTAATAAAACTCTTCATTATCTTTAATGATTGATACCCACCCCTCCAAAGGCAGCCCACTCCTGCCCATTAGGATGCAGTTTTACAATATGGTTTCTGTCGGAAAATCACTTCACCACACACCTAGCTAGCATTGTACAGTAGGGGTGGGGTGGGGTGCAGAAAAGATAGAGGAGTGGTTGTTACCGAAGAATTTTAAATGTACTCTACTCCAGACCAATGTTCGCATGCATATGAGGTTATTGAAAATACCATGGTTTGGGTCAGGCACACCTTAGTCTTCAAACTGACATCTTTGCTCTTCAACACTTTAAAGATTTGCCTAATGCAATACATCATTTGATTTCTTGACTGCTGCTTCCATGAGTGTTGATAAGTGATCCGAGCAGAAAGAAGTCTTTGACAACTTCAGTCTTTTCTCTATTTACATGTGGTGGTGGTGGTGGTGGTGTGCCATGGAGTCTGTTCTGACTTATAGTGACCCTGCATAGGGTTTCTGAGGCTGTAAGTCTTTACAGGGCCAGAAAGCCTTATCTTTCTTCCATAGACTAGCTAGTAGTTTTGAACTGTTGACCTTGAGGTTAGCAGCCAGACTTGCAACCACTATGCTACCAGATGTTGTTTATTGGTCCAGTGGTAAGGATTTTTGTTCTGTACATTGAGATGCAACTCATGCCGAAGGCTGTTGTCTTTGATCTTCATCAGTAAGTATTTTAAGTCCTTTTCACTTTCAACAAGCAAGGTTGTATCATCTGCATGTCGCAGGTTGTTAATGAGTCTTCCTCATATGCATGTGAAAGTTGGACAGTGAATAAGGAAGCCCATAGAAGAATTAATGCACTTGAGTTATGGTGTTGGAAGAGAATATCAAAAGTACCACTGTCTGCCATCTGTGTTCGAAGAAGTACTACCAGAATGCTCCTTGGAAATCAGGATGACCAAACTTCATCTCTCATACGTACATACATACATACATACATACATACATACATACATACATACATACAGGGACCGGTTCCTGGAGAAGGATATTATGTTTGGTAAAGTGGAGGGTCGGAAAAAGAGAGGAAGGCCCCCAATAAGATGCATTGGTACAGTGGCAGCAGCAATGGTCTCAATCATAAGGTTGGCGCAGACTGGGCAGTGTTTTGTTCTGTTGTGCATAGGGTCACTATAGGTTGGTAGTGGCACCTAACAACAACAACAACTTCCGGAGCTATGGTAGCATAGTGGGTTATGAATTGGACTGTAAAACACAAGGTCAGTAGTTTGAATCTACCACTCCTGTAGAGAAAGATGAGGCTTTGCTCCTGTAAAGATTTGTAGCCTAGGAAACCCTGTACAGGGTCCTATGAGTCGGACCAACTCCATAGCACACTCCCACCACCACCCCCACCACATTCCAGACCCTTCCTGTGATTTTTGAATCCTTTTCAGCTCCTTCTTCTAAAGTCGTCATCTAGTATTTGCTTGATTATTCCAGGACAGAACATTTCCTGTCTCTTGAAGCAGCTTGTTTCATCTAGAGATAGTTTTGTAGGGAAGTTCTTTCTTGTGTTGTGTTTACAGTTTTTCCCTTGGTAGTTTTTAACCTACCGATCCATGTATCTTATTTCTTTGTAACATAAAACCAGACCAGTTGAGTTGCCATCAAGTGCGTTTTGACTCATGATGATCCCGTGTGTCTCAGAGTAGAAATGTCCTCCATGGGGTTGTCAATAATTGATTTGGGGGATAGAGTGCCAGGCCTTTCTTCCAACGAACTTCTGAGTGGACTAGAACGGTTAACCTTTTGTCTAGCAGTTGAGCTTGCTAAGTGCACCACCCCGGAACTCCTGGTGACATATAGCATAGGTGGAATTCCTTTTTTTATAGAAAAGCCCTTCAGTATTGGGAGACTGTAACCCTGTTCAATCCTGTTCTCCGAAGTGTTTTTCTTCATTTGCTGAAGAACATGAACTTGCTGTGATAAGATCAACTCTCTGTAAGCAGGTTGTGAGCTTCAGGAAACCTTTGTGGCTGCCCAAACCATTGCCTGCTGCCACCACCTCCTGGAGGGAGAGGGGAAAGGGGCTTGATGTCAAGCTCAGGCTGTGCTGGCGGCTTGGGGCAGCACTTATTTTGGGGTTGGGAGCGTTCATGTGTAGGAACCTTGGTGACAAGTGGTTGCAATATTTTTATGCTAATCAAAAGGTTGGTGGTTCCAGTCACCCAACTGGTCCATGGAAAAAAGACGTGGCTTCCACTTCTGTAAAAGAAACCCTTGAGACAGTTTTCCTCTGTCCCGTGGGGTCACACTATGAGTCAGAAGCCACTTAATGGGAATAGGTTTGAATTTGGCTTTTTGGATTATTGTTGTAAAGAGTCCTGGTGGCACATTAGGTAAACACTTGACTACTAACCAAAATCTTGGTGGTTTCAAGCCACCAAGCAGCCCCACAGACAAAAGACCTGGCAGCCTTCATAGCTTCTCCTGTGAAACTTACAGGGCATTTCTACTCTGTCACAAAACCTACTTGATATCTAACAATGGTGATCATGTTGACATTCACAATCCAAGATATGAATTCTTCACTGTCTGTACAAGATGGCTTTCTCTTCCCTGCATTAGCATGATGCTCTGTGTCACTTCATACATACATCGGGCCAAAACGAAAAGATTGACTGCAGTATAATGAAGCCATTTAAAAGCAAACAAAGCCCACTGAACAGCCCAGGGTTACCTGGCTGCCTGTCAAAGGCTTCTCTTACGGAGGTGATGGAATCTAGACTTCAAACATTTTTTAAGCTTCTGGAATTCCTTCTAGAACTACTTTATTAGCTACATGAGAAGATAAGTTGTAACAATCTTTTTTGAAAAAAAATACTGTGTTTTTGGTGAAGGTTTATACAATAGTTTAGACTGGCCATCCAACAGTGTTCTATACAAGTTGTTCAATGTCATTGGCTGCATTCTTCACAATGTGTGAACCATTGTGGGGTTCCATTTGAGTCTTGTTACCTTTTGCTCAAATCTTATAATCAAGGTCAAAGCGCAGAGTGAAGAGAGAGCTGATCCTTGTGACTTTGCCTGAAGCTAAGCTCTTTCTTTCTGCCCAGAGTCCTTGTCCCACAAGTTCCTGTCACTACTGATGTTGCTTCGCCGGCTTTGGGATTCTGCAGTGAGCCACGTCTCTTCACTGCCCTTGAAAAAGAGCCTCCTGGCTGCCCTGATCCTCTGCCTCTTGGTGGTGAGGTTTGACCCAGGTGAGTGATGGTGCCTCTTCCCCTCCTGCCCTTCCTTGGAGGCCTGTGGAAGCAGGTGCTTTCCAGGGCTCCTGTCCTAGAGCCTTTGGGGATGGAGTCCTTTGAGCCCATGACCTCACTGAACACTAAGCAGGAATTCCCTCAGAACCACTTTGCATTCTGCAGGAGCCACTGGCTAGCTTTCAGGAAAGCTAAGGATCATTTTTGTTCATTCTTGTTTACCTCTGACTTTTTCCTATGTTCCAGAGACTTGATAAACATTTACAAGCCCATTGTGGTGGCGCAGAGAATAATGCTCAACTGCTATCCAAAGGTTGGTGGTTCAAGCCCACTAGCTGCTCTGTGGGAGACAGATGAGACAGTCTGATTCGGTAAAGATGTGCAGCTTCAGAAACCCTATGGGGGAAAGTTTCACTCTGTCCTGTAGGATCTGTATGAGTTGAAATTGACTTGATGGCAAACCAAAAGGTTTGGTTTAGTTTTGGTATGGTTCTTATAAGCCCTAAGTGGGTGAAGCATGGGGCCATTTGAACTGGCTGTTCCCACAGCTGCTCAGAGCTGTCCTTAGCCTCAGCGGTAGTCTGACTCACCACAGCAGTGGTATGGCAGAAGCAGATGTACTGGGCAGCAATTAGAATTTGATGGGAAAGATATAATAAATAGGATAGATTGTCAATCTCTTTTTAAAAAAATATAGCTCTTTCCTTTTTGAGAAAGAAATATGTCTCCTGTTTTAAAAAAAAATCAGTAATTTAAGTAAGAAAATGACTAATTCAGGTTCCAATTTTAGAGAGGTAGGTTTCACTTTATTTTATTTAACTAACTTATGTTAGAAATGAATCCTGGTGGCACAGTGGGTAAGTACTCAACTGTCCACCAAAAGGCAGCTTTGTAGGAGAAACACCTGCTGGTCTGCTACACAGAGATTACAGCCAAGGAAATCCTGTTGGGGATTTTTCTCTATCACATGGGGTCACTGTCAGTCGAACTGCACTCAATGGCAGACAACAACAACAGCAGGTTAAAAATTTGTTGTTGTTAAGTGCTGTCGAGTCGGTTCTGACTCAAAGCAACCCTGCGTAGGGTTTCCGAGGAGCAGCTGGTGAGTTTGAACTGCCGACCTTGAGGTCCAGTAGGTAATACCACAAAATTTAAGAGATAACAAAAAATGAATAGAGTGAAGCATCTTTCCTCGAACAGTGGAGGCAGCCACTGTTGACAGATGTTTTGTATATCAAAAAGTTAGATTGTTGTTGTTGTTGTGAAGTACTGTCAAGTCAATTCTGACCCATAGCGACCCTGTATAGGGTTTCCAAGGAGCAGCTAGTAAGCTTGAACCACTGACTTTGCAGTTCAAATGACTTTGCAGTCTGACGCATTAGCCCACAGCACCACACCAGGACTCAAAAAGTTAGATTAAAACATCGTAAATGTACATCTGTTCCTCAGCAAATTTAAGATCACTGTAATTCAAGTGAAGAAAATACATCCCAAAGAATATACCCTAGAGCAAGTGAAATCCCTTATTGGTTGGGAAGGGGAAGAGAAACAAATAACATTAAGCATAAAAAATATCATACATAATCTCAAATTGCCAAGGGCTGGGAGGTGGGACTGAGTGAGGAGGAAGGGGCGAGGAAGGCACGTTCACAAACTCTCCCTTTCTTCCTGCAGCCTCTCCTTGTTTCCTGCCCTTCCTCTACAAGCTGGCTCAGATCTTCCATCGGATCCGGGAGGCCTTGTTTTCTCCCTTCTACCAGCTCCCTGTCCAGGACTGAGTGGTCGACCCCACGCACCACCACAGAAGCGGAGTCACTCATCCATGGCCCCTGTGGGAGTGAGGCCAGCCTAATTCCCAAAGGAGCTGATCCAGTCAGTTGAACTGTTTCTCGCTGCCTGTGTGTCCTCCTCTGTGCACCCCACTTTGCCTGGATTTAGTGGATAATGTGGAAACAAAGTGGGGCCAGAGGGCACAGCTCCTCCAAAACAAGCCCCTTTACACCCAGAGACCCCTTGGAGAGAGAGGGTTAGGAAGGGTGAGTGTGTCCATGAAAAACATTCCATCCTCATGGCAAAGGCAGAGAGTGCAGATTTTTCAAGATCAGGGTGTTAATGAAGGAGGAAGGTCAGGAAAACCCTGGTAGAATGACCTCTGGCCTTTTCCAATTTTGTCTCTGAAAATCCGGCCACTAGAAGATGCTCTTCTTCCTCCACTCCTGTCTGCAGTCTCGTCTAGTTCTGCATGAGGGCACCATTCCCATGGTCCTGCAGTTTCTCAGCCCAGGGCATGGCTTACGGAACCACCCAGGTAACTGTTGAAAACAAATGAGACTGCTTGCTCTTATCACTGGGTAAGGTGATCCTGCTTGGTGCCTCTTGGTCTTCAGTTCAATTTTCCAGGTTGTCAGTGGCCAAGTCCTGCTCGATTACACTTAACATCTCTGGCCACCCTTTCCCTCCAGTCCCCATCTCTACCCCCTGCCCAGCAAGAGGATTTTTTGTACTACGTCCAGTCCAGTGGCTATTTCACAGTTCCTGCCTGTCTCCTTGCCTCCTTACTGCACACTGGTGCATGTCCTTGTGTGCTGTTGAGTTGGTTCAGACTCATGTCAACTATATCTAGGGCTTCTGGGGGGCTGTAACTCTTTATGGGAGCAGAAAGCATCATCTTTTTCCCTTGGACTGTCTGGTGGATTTGAACTGCTGACCTTTTGGTTAGCAGTCCAACGCATACCCCACTACACCACCAGGTCTCCATACTGTTGTCCCAGTTATGTGTTATTGTTTATATAATGCATACGCTTTTCCACTTGTGTGGCCTTGAGAAGTAGGCCAGCCTCTAGGCTGAGTTGCTGAAAATGGAAGTGGGTAATGAGGTGAGCTGGTAAGACTGCCTGGAGGAGGTGGGTCTCACTTTGGGGCGAGGGGAGGACATGCAATTTGAAGGCAATGAACAGTAAAACCTGATAAGGGGACTGGGCGCCTTTGCCACTAAGCAGCTTTAGTATTTCTGTATTTTCTGTAACCTGCCACCAAATCTTCAGTGCTTCTATGCAAACATATGTTGGAACACAGCACTGTGCTGTGAGGGATGTGGAAAGGCAGTCAAGCCCCCCCACCAGGGACCTCAGTCAGTGCTGATTCAGGAATATGGAAGTCTTTTCCTTGTGGTGTGGGTTAAAGTACTCGTCTGCCAACTGAAGAGTCAGCGATTTGAACCCATGAGCTGCCCCCTAGAAGACTCTGGGCTTAACCAGGTCAGAAGTGAAGGGACGCTTCCTTGTTCGGCTTACCCCTGCACCGTCTAATGTAGCATCTGTTAGCCATATGTGATTTTTGAGCACTTGAAATGTGGCTAGCCCAAATTGAGATGATTTGTGAATGTAAAAATGCACACTGGATTTCCAACACTTAATACTAAAACACTCTTAATTTGTTTTTTTATATTGATTACATGTTGAAATGGTAATCCTTTGGAAATACTGGGTTAAATAAAATATACTCTTAAAATTCATCTTGCCTGTTTCTTTTTACTTTTTAAAATGAAACTACAAGAATAAAATTATACAAGTGGCTTGCAACATGGCATACATATTTCTGTCAGCCGGTACTGCTCAGCACACACCGTACAACACACAAGTTCAGAGAAAGATGGAGGTCAGAGACGTGGCACCTGCATGATGTCATATCTTGAGAAGTCCAAGATTACAGATCATATACTTAATTACAAAAAGCCATCACGCTCAAGTCGATGCTGACTCATGGTGTGTCAGAACTGCTTTTTTCTTCCTTTTGAACTGTAGTTTGGGTGAAAGCTTGCTTGGCTTTCCAATGAACAATTCATACACATTTTGGTTTGTAATATTGACTACATTCCCCACAAGTGACCTCATTCCTCCCACTTCCTCCATGGGTTCCCCTACTTCCTTCGATCCTTTCCTGTTCTCTTCTGCCTCCTGAGCTTTGTCCCTGGGCAAATGCTACCCTTTTGATTTTGTATGGTTAATTGTTCTGAGGCATGCATACGTCCCTGATGTTTGTGTTCACCTGAAAATTGAGCCAAGAGGATGAAGTTCATTTCGACTTGAAGGACATTTAATGACGGTAAGTCTTGGAGAGTCCTCCAGTCTCTATCAGACCATAAGGCTTTTTCATTATTTTGAGTTTTATTCCATGTTTATCACCCACTCTATCCAGGATGTTCTATTGTGATTCCTTTCAGAGCTGTCGGCAGTGAGAGCTGGGCATCATCTAATATATTTCAGGCCTGGTCTTTGAGGCTGGAGTTTGTGTGGTCCATTCGTTTTTGAACTAATTGCTTTCATTCATTTTTTACTTTCTTCACTCTGTTTCTTCTTTGGTCTAGACATAGACCAACAGTTGCATCCAATAGGTTTTTGATGGTTGATTTTTCAGAAACAGATTGCTAGATTTTCTGAGGTGCCTCTGTATAGACTCAAACCTCCAACCTTGCAGTTAGCAGCCAAGTGTGTTAACTGTTTGCACCATCTAGGAACTCCAGAAAGACTATATGATCTAGCAATTCCACTCCTAGGTAAATACTCCTCAAAACTGAAAACAGGAACTCAAACAGATACTTGTAAACTAGAGTTCAAGGAGCCCTGGTAGAGCAGTGGGTTATGAACTGGGCTGCTAACTGGAGCTTAGGAGTTTGGATGGACGAGTCACTCCACAGGAGGAGGTGGCTTTCTGCTCCAGTAAAGATTTACAGCCTCAGAAACCCTATACTGGGTCGCTATTAGTTGGCACACCACCACCACACCAGAGTTCATTATAGCATTAGTCACATAACCAAAAGGTAGAAATAACCCGTGTCCCCAAGCACATGAATAGATAAGCATAATGTGATAACATACATATAATGAAGCCCATAGGAGAAATGAAATTCTGATACATGCTAGACCTGAATGAACCTTGACAATATCATGCATAGTAAAATAAGCAGAGACAAAAGGCAATCTATTGTATGATCCATCGTATATGAAAGATCTACTCATGGTAAATGCATAAAGATGGAAAGTAGATTAGAAGTTACTAGGCACTAGGGGAGGGTATAAAGGTGGGAGTAAGGAGTTATTGCATAGTTATTGGTACAGAGAATTTCTATTTGGGATGATTAAGAAAAACATCTGGAAGTGAATAGGGAAAGCTGCACAGCGTGATGAATATAATTAATGCCACTAAGGTGTACACTTAAAAAATGGTTGTTGGTTAGTTATGTGTAATGGAGTTGGTTCCAAGTCAAAGCAACCCTGTATAGGGTTTCCGAGGCTGTAAATCTTTGTTGTTATTGTTATTAAGTGCTGTAGAGTCAGTTCCGGCTCATAGCCACCCTGTATAGTGTTTTCAAGGAGTGGCTGGTGAGCTTGAACCGCCAACCTTCTGGTTCAAACTGACTTTGCAGTCTAGCGCATTAACCTACAGTGTCATACCAGGACTCTGGTGTAAATCTTCACGGGAGCAGAAAGCCTTCTCCTCCTGTGGAACAGCTGGTAGTTGAGAACTACTGACCTTGAGGTTAGCAGTTCAACTCTTAACCACTGTGCTACCAGAGCTCCTTTAAAAATGGTTAGAATAGCAAATTTTATTTATACATATTTTACCACAATAAAAAACAAAAATCCAAAACAGCCAGAGAAAATGGCAGACCAAAAAAGATCTGACATACATTGTAGATGGGGCACAGACCTATTATTTACCCTCTCTTTCCCCTTCTTAAGTGGAAAAGCCTCAGGGTTAATGCAGCCGGACCTCTGGCAAGCACAGGTGGGGCCTGTTGCGATTCTGCAGTTGTTACTCTGGGTTGGCAAGGAAGCATTAATTACTGACTGAAAGGTCAGTAGTTTGAACCCACCAGTCACTGCACAGAAGCAAGATGAGGCAGTCTGCTCCCATAAAGATGTATAGCCTTGGAATCCCTATAGTAACCCTGTGTAGGTTCCGAGGCTATAAATCTTCACTGGAGCAGAAGGCCTCATCTTTCTCCCACAGAGCAGCTTGTAGATTTGAACTGCTGATCTTGCGGTTAGCAGACCAATGCATAGCCCACTATACTACCAGGGCTCCTTTTGCCAGATTTTAGTCCTGATGTAGCACTGTAGGATAAGCGCTGAACTGCTAATTGCAAGGTCAGCAGTTCAAACCCACCCGTCACAGCTCAGAAACCCTATATAGGGTCGCTTTGGAACCAATTCAATGGCATTGAACATGTTATTGTTCAGTGCCATTGAATCGACTGTGAAACGTGGTTCTCAGTCTAGTGCCTCCCCTCAAACAAAAAATATCACAAATATTTTTCTTGCCTTAAAGTAATGCATATGTATTTTCAAAAATTAGAAAATAACAAACTTTTTGTTGTGTGCCATCACGTCGTTGGTCCTGACTCATAATGACCCTGTATAGGGTTTCCAGGAATCTTGGTGTGGTGCTGTAGGATCAGCACTGGACTTAAAACCACAAGGTCAACAGTTCAAACCTTCGGAAACCCTATACAGGGTCCCTATGAGTTGGAACTGATTTGATGGCACTTAACAACAATAGGGTTTCTAAGGCTGTAAATCTCTAATGGAGCAGAAAGTCTCATCTTTCTCCCGAGGAGCAGCTGGTGAATTCCAACCGAAGACCTTGCAGTTAACAGAAAGATTTGCTTGTGTATGGGGAGACACCAGTTGACCTAACTGGGAATCCTCCAAAGAAGCAAGTAGAAGCAATGGGCTGAGAGGGGAGGGGCCATGGAACACACTGTTCCTTTCCTGTG